TCGGCCACGCGTTCCACGGCTCTCCCGTATGCTTCCTCGACGGTGGCGGGAGGCGGCCTTCGTCGTTCAACACGGCCTTCGTCCTCGACATCGTCACCGTCGGGAGCGGCGGCGGCCATGGCCTGTCCTTCATGGTGGCCCCGTCCACCGTGCTTCCAGGAGCGGCCCCCGAGGTCTACCTCGGCGTCCTCGGCCCGACCAGCAACGGCAACCCCGCCAACCACGTCTTTGCAGTGGAGTTCGACACCGTGCTCGACCTGGAGATGAACGACACCAACAGCAACCACGTCGGCGTCGACGTCAACAGCCTCATCTCCAACGTATCGGAGCCTGTCGCGTACTACACCGGCGATGGGGATGCCGGCGGAAACACCAAGGCGGTGCCCGTGACGCTGGAGAGCGCGCAGCCAATCCAGGCGTGGATAGACTACGACGGCGGCAGCGGCGTCCTCAACGTGACCGTGGCCCCGGTGTCCGTGTCAGACCGACCTCGCCGGCCGCTGATTTCGACAAAACTCGACCTGCGACCGATCTTCAGGGAGGAGATGTATGTCGGCTTCTCCTCGGCGACCGGGAAGCTGGCGAGCTCGCACTACATCTTGGCGTGGAGCTTCCGGACCAACGGGCTCGCGCAATCCATCAATCTCCGGCGGCTGCCCAAAGTTCCGAAGACGAGCACGGCGCTTTCCAAGCTCGTCATCATCAAGTTCGCCGCCGTGGCATGTGCGGGGACACTCGCTCTGATCGCCGCGGCCATGGTCATCGTGCTCTGGCTTCGGAAGAGGGCGAAGCTCGCTGACACACTGGAGGACTGGGAGCTGGAGCACCCTCACAGGTTCCCGTACAAGGACCTCTACAAGGCCACCAAGGGGTTCAAGGAAAGCGAGCTCCTTGGCGCGGGCGGTTTTGGCCAGGTGTACAAAGGAGTGCTCCGGCAGCGCTCCGGCGGCGACGAGGTAGCGATCAAGCGGATCTCCGCCGGCACGAGGCAAGGGATGAAGGAGTTCGTCGCCGAGATCGCGAGCCTCGGGCGCATGCGCCACCGCAACCTGGTCGAGCTGCGCGGGTGGTGCAAGCACGGGCAGGACCTGTTCCTCGTCTACGAGTTCATGCCCAACGGCAGCCTCGACGCGCACCTGTTCGGCGCGGACCGCAAGGCGCCGCTGCTGGCGTGGGCGCAGCGATTCGCCGTACTCAGGGGCGTCGCCCGTGGCCTGCTCTACCTGCACGAGGAGTGGGAGCACGTGGTCGTGCACCGCGACGTCAAGGCCAACAACGTGCTGCTCGGCGCCGACATGGGAGCGCGGCTCGGCGACTTCGGCCTCGCGCGCCTCTACGAGCACGGCGCGAACCCGGCGACGACGCGCGTGGCGGGCACCCTCGGGTACATGGCCCCCGAGCTCACGGTCACCAGCCGTGCCACGACGGCCACCGATGTCTTCTCCTTCGGCGCCCTGCTGCTGGAGGTCGCGTGCGGGCGCCGGCCGGTGGAGCCGCCGAGTGAGGCGACGGACGACTCGGACGTGATCCTGGTGAGGTGGGTCCGCGACTGCGGTCTCGACGGCGACCTGCTGCGAGCCGTGGACCCGAGGCTGGAGGGGTGCTACGACGAGGGGGAGGCGAAGCTGGTGCTGTGGCTTGGCCTGATGTGCAGTCAGGCTCGCCCGGAGGCGAGGCCCAGTATGCGGCAGGTTTGCCGGTATCTGAGCGGCGAGGAGGCATTGCGGGAGGATGCGGCGCTCGTTTTCACCGGCGCCGACTCGGTCGAGTTCATCGGGTCGTCGCTCTCCATAACGTGGTCCTCCTCCGGCGGTACCATGTCGGCCGGCTCTCTGCATGGTGGTCGGTGAACTACCACTATTATCGTATAGAAAGCTGTTAAGGTGCACACACATCGTGGTGTTTCTTTGTGTAAGATGTACAGATAGGCAGGTACCGTGTGGCTGTTGCGTTTATGTACACAAGTTTGGCTGGAACGCGTTCTGTCCCCTAGGCCTTAGTGAAGGTGTTCGGTGTTCCAGACCAGGATCAGAACTGCCTAGAGTATGACTACTGAACATACATAGTAGTACTACTTATTATCAATAGTTGTGGAAGAAAGTACACTGACAATTTCCCCTAGATGGGAACTGATATTGAATATGCAGTATTCACAATTTTATGTGACAGTGGACTGATACTGAATGAAGCTGACAACTCTGTACCATCGGATAACTTTGATTTGTGTTGGCCACTTACCCTGCAACATATGACATCAGAGATTATGCAACTGTAAATTTGTGTTTATGGCTTTATGCTATATCCGTGAAGTAGAATAATTTGCCACGGTGAAATCTCCATTTGGATTACTTCAGAATCCAAATGAACCACCACTTCAGCATGAAAAAGAACAAGGAGTTACAGAAGTGGATTCATATGAACCACCACTTCAGCATGAAGCAAAAACTGAAACGCGAGATGGTGCAGTCAAGGCAAAAGAAGAAGAGAGATTACAGCATCTGAACCATGACTTCAGCAAGGAACAACTGAAGCGACTGAAGCGTACCATATGTGCTACAGTCATGGCAAAAAAAAAAAAAAAAAAAGGAAGAGAGATAACAGTAACAAAAAAAAAAAAAGAAACCTGCAGGTTAATGCAAAGAGCGGTGGTATTTTAGGCTTACGCCCAGTGCTTCACTGCTTCAGGAAGAGAGGCTTCAGCTTTCTCAACACCCTATACTATTATAATCACTTGAAGACCAATTTTCTAAGATAAAGCAAACTGCATACCGACTTACCGAGTAAGGCCCTGTTTGGATCCTATGGCCTAAATGACAAATCTAACGTGCAGTCCAATGCTACAGGCTAAATGGATAAGCTGCAAACGACTCCAGCAAATCACTACATAATAAACTTCTAAAACAATCTCCACAAAAGCAGGCAAATGTTCATCGGAACATTAGGATTTTGGTATTTGACGATGGTCTCAGAATAGCATGCACAACTAGCAGTCAGAAGTATTTGTTACAAAAAGGTCGTTAAGAGCACGGTGAACTGCTACTACTATGGATTAAGACCCTGATTCTCTTGTGACTGCTTAATATAACAACAGAACAGATAATAATACTGCACTAAATTCCATCTGTTAGTTCAAATCTTGACAATATGTATGGCATAAATTCAGTGAAAACTACACCAAGTTGCAAAACAGCACAATCCTGTGTGGGTCATTCCAAACGATTATTCTTTCAAACACTTAGACCATGATTTATTATTCATATTACATGATATAGATAAAGTACAAGGAATAGCTCTATCCACTTTGACCTACAATCAGAAGAGCCTCCAGACCTAGTACTACAGTCTACAAGGTATGGATATTTGCATGGCTGTGGCTATGGTGGGCGGGGTCGCAGCCGTGGCAATGGTGGCAGAAGTTATGGCTACTCGAACTGCTACAACTGTTGTGTTCATGTACACAAGTTTGGCTCCAACACTCTCTGTCCCCCTAGAGTACTGACTACTGAGTATACATAGAATTATCAATAGTTGTCAAAGAAAGAGTGCATCAACATTTTCCGCCACTAGATAGGATCCTAGGAACTGATACTGAATGAGTGTGCAGTATTCACAGTTTTTTGAGCTCGCTACTCTATGGCATTGGATAAGGTCGATTTGTGTTAACCACTTACCCTAAAACATGACATCAGATGTTATGAAACAGCAAGGTTGTGTATATGGCTTATGCTCCCTCTGTGAAATAGACTAATTTTCCACAATGAAATCTCCATTGATTTAGTCATAACTTCAAGGCATTACCAGAGTGGATCCTTCAGCTTTCTCAACACACTATGTTATCATAATCACTCAAAGGCCAATTCCATTAACTAAAGAAAATTGCATAGGGAATAAATCTAACGTTCAGTCCAATGCTGTGGACTAAATGGAAAGGCTCCACTATATTATCATAATCACTCAAAGGCCAATTCTGTTAACTAAAGCAAATTGCACAGGGAGTAAATCTAATGCAATCAAATGCTCTGGACTAAATGGAAAGGTTCCACTATATTATCATAATCACTCAAAGGCCAATTCCATTAACTAAAGCATATTGCACAGGGAGTAAATCTAACATCCAGTCCAATGCTATGGACTAAATGGAAAGGCTCCAGCGAACAACTCCAGCAGATCACTACAGAATTGTCTTCTAAGACGATCCAGCAAAGCAAGAAAAGGTCATCAGGAACACTAGGATTTTTGGTATTTGGCTATTTGGCGATATGAATATGAATAAAGTATCAAACCACAGAGGACAGTTTAACGGAACTATTTGAAGGGGAAAAACCACGGGCACAAAAAACAATCTCACTATCTCAAGAGTTTTGGGTTACACGCCTATGGCGAGAATCCTGAGCTATGATGGATTTATGGGCGAGACTCCCCAAGCCTCCGGCGACGGGCCTCCGCTTCGCTCCGTCAGAAGCCTGGCCTATATCCTGGAGTGAATTTGGAACAACTCCAACAGCTATGATAGCATGTACAACTAACAGTCGGAACTATTTCATTACAAAAATATCAGGTACGTTCTGAGCTATGATGGATTTAGACCGTAATTAGTTTGTGATTCCTGAAAGCAGCAAAACAGATAATGATACTGCATGTTAAATTCCATCTTTTAGTTCAAGTATTGGCAGTATGGATCGCCTAAGATCAATGAAAACTATACAGAAGAGAACACCAAGTTGGAAAACAGCACAATCCTGTGTGGGTCATTCCAAACGATTTTTTATTCAAACATTTAGACCATAATTTATTATTCATATTACATGATACAGATAAAGTACAAGGAATAGCTCTATCCACTTCAACCTACACTCAAAAGAGCCTCCAGACCTAGTACTACAAGGTATTAGGTATAGATCTTTGCGCCATATCATGTTCACCAACCATAGATGAAAAAGATTCAGGAATAGAATTCCAAAACAAAAGAGCAGTTTGGAGGGTTAATTGAACATAAAACTTTATATCTTACCATTGAGATTTTTCTGGAGAACATCCATCACAGAACCAAAGTCAGCCTTCACACTGATCGGTGGATTAGCATACTGGCAAACCATGTCCTTGACGTTTTTGTCATGGTAGTCGATCTTTGACTGAGTGAACTTCAGCCCATGAGCTGTGCTAACAACCACAGTGCGGTCATTAGGCCCAATTATACGCTGATCCCGGAGCTTAAACAAAGCAGCAAGTGCAACCCCAGTATGTGGGCAAGCAAACATCCCAGTGCGGTCAGCAAGAGACGTCGCATCCATTAGCTCCTCCTCTGTAGCCTCCTCCACAATACCATTAGTAGCCTTCAGCGCGACCACCGCACGGTCAACAGATACAGGATCACCAATCTGTATCGCAGATGCATATGTAGTTTCAGCAACTTGTGGCTGAAACTCAGTCCAGCCTGACTTGTAGTACCGGTACAACGGATTTGCATTTGCAGCCTGTGCACAGACAAGGCGTGGCACACGATCAACAAGTCCAAGAACGCGGCACATCTCAAACCCCTTGTAGAATGCATAGATATTCCCAAGATTGCCTCCTGGAACAATGACCCAATCCGGCACCTGCCAATTGAACTGCTGCAATATCTCGATGGCCGCTGTCTTCTGCCCCTCGAGGCGAAGCGAGTTGAGCGAATTGGCAAGGTAGATTGGCAGCTCTGCAGTGACCTCGCGAATGAGCCGCATGCAGCCATCAAAATCAGTGTCTAGAGACAGCACGGTGGCGCCGTTGGCGATTGGCTGGATGAGCTGCTGCAGCGAGATGCGGTCCGCTGGCAGGAACACGATGGCGGGGATTCCCGCGGCGGCGCAGTAGGCCGAGAGCGCGGCAGAGGTGTCTCCCGTGGACGCACAGCCAACACCGTTGATGGGGCGCGAGAGCGGCGCGCGGCGGAGGCGGTTCACCTGACTGACGAGCACGGTCATGCCGAGGTCCTTGAAGGAACCGGTGTGGGAGATGCCACAGTGCTTGACCCAGAGGTCGTTCATCCCGCCGAGGTGCTCGCGGCCGAGGCGCTCCGCCCAGAAGAGGTTCGAGTTGCCCTCGAAGAGGGAGACGATGTGGTCGGAATCGATCTCGGGGAGCACGAACTCCTTCTTGGACCAGACGCCCGAGCCGTAGGGCCAGGCGGTGCGGCCGACGCGGGAGTCGAAGAGGTCGCGCCAGTAGGAGCCCGGGTAGCGCGCCAGCGCCTCCATGTCGTGGCGCACGTCGAGGAGGCCCCCCGAGCTGGAGCGGTAGACGACCTCGTCCAGCGAGTAGCGCTCGTCGGGGTCGCCTCCGGGCGCCGGCGGGAAGGGCTCGTACCACGCCGAGAAGCCCTGCGCCGGGCCGCGGAGCCGCGCCGCCTCCTCGCGGATGTTCTCCTCCGCTGGGCGGCGGTGCTTCGTGGCCGTCGTGTCGGAAGAGGCGCAGCGCGGGCGGCTGGGGCTGGCGCGGGGAGGCAGGCGGAGGTGGGAGCCGGCGGCGGGCCCCCGCACGGATGGTTGGCGGGAGTGGGGGTGGGAGAAGAGGAGGGAGAGCGAGGAGGCCGCGGTGGAGGTCGCCATGGTGCGTTGAGGCTTTGGCGGCGGGGCGGCGAGATTGCAGAGGGTGGGGAAGGGGGCCGAGATTAGGGGGGAGCGGACGCTGGTGACGTGGACGAGGGTTTAGGCTTTTTGGAGAAGGGAAGAGGTCGGCCGGTCTGGACGTTAATTGGCGGTAAATTGTCGAGGGCCGATGCGTTCGACCCGGTTCCCGTTGATGTTCCACTGGTGGTTCGCCGAGCTGCTATGATACGCTCTCCGTCACGAGAATCACACGCTGAGCTGAACGCACGTCGTGTCACGCTGGCTGGAGGTTGAACCTCTAGGCTCAGTGCTCAACGCTTCAAATGCTCGAGGGGCGAACCATCCTAACCACACAGTTGAGCAAGCAACACGATACCTATTTTAGCGAGCAATTACCTCATTTTCGCGTGCTTTTCAACGATGTTGAGAACGTGGAGAATTGGTATAGCCTATCCTTTATGGAAAGCATAAGCATCTATCGCATGTTGAGAACGTGGAGAATCGCTGGCCATGGATTTTGGATGCGGATTTTGTATGGGCCCGCTGAACCATCGATACCACCACAAAAGGTTCACATCAGAGGATTTGTGATAAAAGCATATTCTGATCGGCTCCCTTCATATGGATGCAGGATGCAAGTATCACGTGCTCTAAAGGGAAGGAGGCTGCCACCAACTGTTGCGAACCCAGCACGAGCAAAAATGCAATACTGCTGAAGAGAATAGACAATATACAAGCAACATTGATGGATCAAAAAGAGTAGGTAGAAGCTGAAACTAAGGCGCTAAACAGAGTGTCGATTTTTCGAAATTTCAAAGTTGCACGCAACATATGAAATCAAGAAGGTAGTATATAATACAGAAGAATGTTATGGGATCATGGATTCGCAGTTACTTAGATTGTTCATATCACAGTATGCTCCAATTAAACACTTCAGCTGTCAGAATTTTCTTGCAGGGAAGATGGCTAACTTGCAAATGATGAATCGGGTGAAGCTGAGTGCAGTGTGACTTGCTGCGGTTCCAATCTCGACTCTCTTTGGCATGGGAATTAAGGATATGTTTGGATCCCCTCCTCTAAACTTTAGAGCTCTAAAAACTTTAGAACACTTTAGCTTACTTTTTTAGTCTAAAGCTCTAATGTGAGGCGGACTAAAGTTTATAGCTCACTTTAGACCATATGTTTGGAGCTTTAGCTCTAAAGCTTAGATGGGCGGATCCAAACATGCCCTAAGTCGAACACTGCAGTTTATGGGGCCCATCATCTATTTAGCATTTCGGATGACTGCAGCGTTCACGTAAGTTGCGCTCTTGTTGAATCCTTCGAGCACCATTATTCGCACTGCCTCCAAGCCCCTATGCAACGCAAAATCAAGCTGCACAAAGAGATCGCTTCCGTTACTTTTCCTTGTCTCCCCATGGCCCATGGATAAAATAGAAACACCCAATTATGTGTTTGCTAAATTGGCTGAACCAAAATATCTTAGGTACAGATAATAGTGAAAACCTCTTCTTGCTCTTTCTTGTTAAAAGGCCGGAGAACAAAATTTGCAGGATCCATCTTCCCGGGTGGTCGTCCAATGCCTGCAGCAGGAATATTCATTCTGGGCAACTGAAGAGAAAAGGAGTGAGAAGGGGCATACCAATTCTTAGGCGTGAAAAATCACGGCTTTGTTTCAAATGGTTGACGATGCTTCTCATCCTGCAAATAGTGGCTAAATGGTAAGTACAGAAACAAGCTCTTCTCCAAACAATAACAGTGATGGGAAGGTCACAAAGTCAGTGCAACCACCGTGTCGAAATTTACACATTGATATAGAACCTACACGAAATTATGAATAAAAAAAGCATGGACTATTTCCTTATAGGAATTTAAAAGAGGGAGCAATAAAACTACAAATGAAGTTGTTACCAAAGTTTTAATGATGGCCTGCTGCATTTTGTAACAGGTAGGCACTTTATAATCAACTTTCTAAACATCAATGTACAGTTGCTACTGTGTTGACGGACAACACAAATCAATGAATCATATGATCAAATATCCTTCTCTTGGATGAACTTGAGACTATGGAACAATTATCTGTCTCCAAAAGTATGTGGTCTTCATCAGAATTTGTATTAGAAAGAACACTGAAATAATGACTAATAAGCTATACATGGAACAGATATCAGAAAGTAGATGAGAATGGAGTACCCATTATGTCCGCCATGCCCACCCTTTGGCAGCAGGCGCAGTTTTGCAAAGGGTAAATCCAGATCATCATACATCTGCAGAGAAGAAAAGAATGTGGACTAGTTAATAGTGATTTTGCAAGGTGAAAATGACATTTATAGTGATATGAAATGCAGCTATTGAAGAGTAAACATTTACCACAACGATTTGATTAAGTGGTATTTTGAAATATGAAACCAGCTGCCCAACCTATACATAACTCAATGTGTAAAAAAAAAGATACAAAAAAGGAATAATACTACAATAGCATTCAATGTTTCATTGGAATCATTGTACTTACAGTCTCACCGCTTGCATTCATAAAGGTTTGTGGCTTGGCAAGTATAATAGGTGCATCACCGATGCGACCTGGATAATAATAAATTAGTTTTAGTGAAGAATGCTTTCAAGCATGCATGGAATTACAAAGAAGTAATAATGCATCTACTTTATGTTCAATATTCAGTTATAGACATGCCCGTCCCTGCAGGAGTGCGACCTGTGTGACGGCACAGGGCCTCTGTTTTCCAGGGCCCCGAACTCCAAAGTTGCAGCCCATCAAACCTATTAATCTTATCAAAATTTCTAGCAAGTAGCCAAGTAAGCCAAATCCTCAAGTGGAAGCATCGTTTCCAACCCCGCAGCACTAGTTCGACTTTCATCTTTGACTTTTATTCTCCCAATCTTGATCAGTGTCTGGCGTCTCAGCATGGGTGATTAGGCTATACGTGTCAGCGTGAAGCTATGGCGCCGTCTGTTGTGAGGCCATGGGCGGTGGATATCAGGAGTAGGACATGCTGCTCATGGCCTGGTGCTGGTCCACTTTACTTGACCTGCTGAGCAAAGGGCAGCAAGTGCTGCGCTGGACTGCTGGTTGCATCTTCCTTCGGCAAGCTAACATTTCTTAAATTGTACTCAGTCTTTTGTATGAACTAGTGAACTAGTACTGGCTTGTTTGTTGTCTGATGTATATATAACACATATCCCTTAATTTTGTTTTTTCTATCTTACATATTCATGTGTAAGAACTTGTCGAGACGTCGAGTGTTTTAAGATCGAAACCCTTTCTTCTGAAAATCAGTCTAGAAAAATATGAATCGAATTACTAAAAGCGTAAAAAACAGAAAACTTAATATTAGAAGGGAGCTATGGATAGGTCATGCAACCAAGAGTTAATTCTGTATAATTCTTGATCGTTGCAATGTAATACAGTATTTTATTATTCTACTTTGCTAAGTTGCTTGGGCCTATTTTAGAATTTAGCACAAGGTCCCCATTTATGCCAGGACATCCCTGGTTATAAGAGTATCCGAAGGCCACATGTAGATTGCTGTAAAAGCTCTTTCAGGTTGCGAACAGATTTAATTGCGAAAGGAAGTGAGAAAAGAATTGGAACACAGTTTAGCTCTTGAAAGCATTCTATCAAGATTAACATTACAAACTTCAACACATATAATAATACTTCATGTAAAGAAAAATACTTTGGTGTGATTGTTACCTTTTCCAACCATTGCCTTGAACTGCATACTGCTCAGAGATATACCCTCAGCTTCTGCTATAACATCGATCATCTCGAATCCAACCTGAGAATAATTAGACATGATCTCAAATTCTCAACTCCGTACAAAGATTATCCATTGGAGTTTCTATTTTCTAATTATACCAGTACACAATAAAGTCCTCTGCGCACAAGAGAAAATCTGCTCTCTGACTACGAATCATACATTTCAGTGTTTCTTTTTTAGCGTTTCTATCTCATTCTGTAACAAGAAACCAAGTCGACGAAGCAAGTTTCAAATTTGCATATACCCTTTGTTTACATCCTTAATACCTATTCAACATTTGTATTCAAAAGTTTAAGACTCCAAAATTTTGGAGTTCCCACCGTGGAAAACGGCAGCTTTCACGACGAACAGGGTAGGTAAGGCGCTTACGTTGTGGCGAGTTCCCTGGTACACCTTTCCGGGGTTACCCAGCCCGACGAAGAGCCACGGCTTCCGCGCGCCGCCGTCGCCTGTACCTGCGGCTGATGAAGAAGCTGCCCGACAGGCGAAGGAGGACGCTGGGACGCATCTTGTCCTTGCGCGGGGGTGTGAGAAAAGAAGAGATGGAAGGCGGGACGCCGAGGCGCCGGAGAGCAGCCGCATCGCCGCCGCCGCCGTAGCGCCGCTGGTAGGGGATGAACCTTTGGGAGGCGTGGGATGGGCTGGGATTGTCACACTGGGCTTAATAGCTTAGGGCTTTAGGCCAGGTTGGGCCGACAGCCCAACTATCAATTTTTTGTTATTAATTAATTTTGAGTTTAGCAAAAATATATGTATAGGTTTTGAAAACTTTGCAAACAAGGCTGTATATCTAAACATTATAAAATAAAATATCCAAATAGTTTTTAATAAAATCATAATAAATTATGAATTTTTACTATTAAATTTTATCTTCATACGGATCTACTATCTACTATACCCAAATAGGAGAACCCCACTGTCATATTTTCCTGCAATCTCATAGAGCCACGTCACCAGTGTTGTAAAACATAAGGAAAGGAGAAGTAGGAATTTTAATCTTAGTCCGTTTGTACGTGGGCTCTTACCAAACTCTTAGGTCTTGGTAGGACTATATATACGTGGGAGCTCTATGTTATAATCACCAATATGCAGAGAAATAAAGAATAGTCTCTCTATCTTGTGTCTATTTGTTCTATACTTTCATCTAGTGTGTTGATCATGAGAGATGGAGAGGGGAAGATCCTAACCGCTGGCAACATGTTTTATAACATGTTATCAGCACGA